CAAGGGAGAAAGGAAATTAAAAACCGTTGGGGGTACATGGGGTCTGTACATTAGTACAGGCGTCGCGATTGTTTCGTACTTTTTCACATCCAACATCGAAATTCTTCAAAACGACTCAGCGAAATATCTTGGACTGGACAGAAGATTTACATGGAAAACACGTATAAAGAATAAAGAAAAAGAATTAGACCTCAAAATTATCAGATTAAACTGGCTATTAGGGAAAAAAATTCAATCCTTAAGCATCGCAAAAAAAAATTCTTCTGCATAAAGCATTACTAAACCCAGCCTGGCACATGGAATACTTTGGGGAGCAGCTTAAAATTCAAATATTGAAATATTTATAACGTTTCCCAATCTAAAGCTTAAGAAAATTTGTAAATGCTCCTTGGTACGAAACGAACGCCAATTACACCGAGACTTACAAATGACAACAATAAAGGAAGAATTAACAAGAGAAGCGCAAATTACTTACGACTACATACCATCAAAATAGTCTTGCCATTAACTTACTTCACAAAAGTGACACCACACACAACTTAAACAATATCATACTTTAGACCTGACATATCTACCATAAATTGTTATATATTTTCTGTTTTATTATTATAATATGCTTATCATCGTATATTTTTTTGTATGTTAGTTTAGTTATCAAATATGTTTAGTGTGTGGTTAATCTGAAAAAATGTTAATATTATGTAATATTAGAAGTACGGTCAATGACCTTATGTTATTAAAATTGTATCTAATTTTGCCAAATGTTTATACCCAAACAAATTGCAAAATAAAATATTATTATAAAAAAATTTGAGAGAACGCACAGCATTATTTTCCCCATTGCAATTCCCAAGTAATGAATGTGTATCAAGTATTTTTGAGATGGCATTGTTTCTGTGTTAAGAGTTCAATTATGGTTGTGTGTGTGTGTGTGTGTGTGTGCGTGTGCGCGTGTGCGCGTGTGTGCGTGTGTGTTGGACTGCGTACATTTGTGAGGTAATATTTACACAGACAGTGTAATAATGATTATAATATTATAATATTATATGATTATAATATTACGTGTAATAATGATTATATTACAGGTTGATTATAATATCACACATTGTAGCTCGCTTGGTAATTGGTTTCGAAAAAACAATTGTATCCTCTTTCAAAATGAATTGAATAATTTTCTACGGGACTTACGGTTGTTATAGAGAAAAAAAACACGAAAACTGTCATAAAAATACCAGTTTGTTGGGTCTCCAGTAGTTGGCACAGGATCTACGTCGAAAACTAGTACATAGTTACTACGAGTAGCGTAACTAGCCCTTCCGGGGCCTCAGTCTAAAAATTAAATGAGGGCACTCTCTCGAATAAAATTGTCCAATTAAAACCTAGTGGAGCTACAACAGCACATACCTTCTGGCATTGTTGGAAACGGCTACTTAATATTGCAATATTGCAATTTCTGCACTTCTAACATCTCAGCTATTGAAAGCGTTCAATTCAAACAAAGTGACTGTGGTGCGTATCTGCTTTCATTTCAATAGACAGGAGCAGCCACAAAATTTTGAATATTTTGCAATTTTAGAAAAAACAGTGAAAGTGATACTTGCACCATTCTCTTAGTTCTTTACACTATCCGACAATGAAATTTAATAAAAAATGTGCACCTATTATTTTGAAAAACTCCCATGGACTTAATGTATAGTAATTATCGCCCAGAATTAAAATATCGGTTTCAAATTCAAGGGACCGCGTCATGAACCAGATCGGTTGGGGAATAATAATTTTGGAGGAAATCGGCTGAACGGTTTAACCGCTAACTTTCTTCAATGGCAGACGGACAGGTATCAAGGACTCACAAAACCTGGATTGGCCAATCACCTGTTGGATGATTTTCTTTTAATTTAGCAACTGGTTTATCCACTTTTTCGTTACCAGCGGCCAGGCAATTAGAGTTTTTGTATCGAAAACTCGCCGTAAGCAGTAGCGAGAAAGTAATTTATACGTAAATAAACTTGATTAATCATAATCACAAAATTCATAATCGAGCCCTGATTATTTTCGCTTCGACGAACCTATCAATAACGCTGACCAGATTCGCTTTTAACCAGTTTGTTCCTTTACTCCCTATGGACAATATGCTATGGTTTTATTTTTAATATTTTTAAAAGGAGCCCCGAGGAGTTATTAACGTATATGAAATTGGATCCTTTGACGTTAGCGTTCCTTTATGTTCTAATGAAATGTTTCAAATCACGAATAATGAAATCCAGAATAGAGCCCCTCAAAACTTTAAATGAAGCAATAAATAATCGGGACCCGGAATGTTATATTACAAATTTGGAAAACATTTTCGCGTCATCTAAAAATACGTTATTCAAACTAGTCGATTTGTAGTAGTAAACAAATCTCTTTCAGAAAGAGCCTTTAAATGATGTTGTTACACAAAAAGAAACATTTGCTATTGAGGGCCCCATGTGTCCGGGGGTCACAGGTAACTGCACCTACCGGGCTGACGGTTGTTACGCCACAGCTTACAACATATATATGGCGTGCGTGCCATTCAAAAATACACTTACGTTTGTATTAAAACCAATTTACTTGTATTACGATATTGTGATCAGGAAATACATTTCAAATATTAATTCTTCTGTAAGTAATTGAAGTACGACTCACCTACTTCCCCTGAGTGGCCGTTCCTGTTAAGATGGAAGTTTTAAGCTGTGAGTCTCCTAAATCTCTCTCTAAATATCACTGGTACAAACGAAATTAAACGTTCACAAAAATACTACAATCGTTCAAACTGTTCTGGTTTATTTTTGGTGGTTGTGTTCCTCTTTAATTTTACAGGAATTATTTTGTTGGAAATACTTGATTTTTAGCAATAAAAGCAATGATTGGAGTAGAAAAGAATGATCCGTTCTTTTGAATATACTACGATTGTTTCTCAAGCAAACAGATCTGGCATGTATAATTTATATATTTGAAAATATTGAAAGTAGTACGATTTCAGAAGCCCGGAGGGAAACGCTGTATAATTTATTCTGCACAATTGAATGAAAATATTTGTTTGAACAGACTTTTCTTACTTTGGTCGTTGATATTGTAAGCAAGAATTAACATTTCGCGATCATGCTAAAAAAAAATACACACAATTAATCAAGGGAATTTTAAGGAACGTAGACGTTTGTGGAGACACAGAGAAATTCAAACCAATGGTCTAAGATAAAATATGTATTCAGTGATGCATCAGAAGTATTTAAAATGAATTAATCGAATGCATTTCAGACCACATAATTGATTTTGTTCGTACAGAATTTGTAATGTCTGATTATGTGTGTTCTTGTAAATGATTCGTTAAATAATACACAGGTGCCTCCATGTTCCGTAATAGTGATGTTCGTTAAGGTGAGATTCCACTCGAGAAATGAGAAACATATCAAATTTTGTTACTTAAACTTAAAATAATCTATAGATGTTTTCGAACATTATATTTATTATTTGTTGAGAATTTTGGGGTTTTTGTTTATTTCATTGCATTTTGAAAGTGCATTAGCACAGACCGGTTGATGTTTCAGAAGTTGCATGGTTCCACATAAGCAGAAATAGTTCTGAAACTATTAACACCCGAAGGCTGCTGTTTTCGCATTTTCATATTAGGTTATCTCGTTTATCTGCGCAATTTGGTGCGCGTGTTGTTCTTCTGTGGGTTTAAAGTTAAGTGTTATTTTTTCTCTTGCGGTAAGCAGTAGAATAGCGTGGTGTATGAAAGAAATGTTAACTAGTTCGACAAAACCGAAAGGTGTTCATGAAAGGCTTGTGACCAAAGGAAATAAATTCAACCGTGAAGACTGTTGAGGTAAACAATTTATATATTGCGGAAAATACGTTTAGTAGTGAAAATCTGAACTCCAGAATTGATCCAGTCAAGATCCCCTCCCCCCCAACAGAGATAAAAGCTGGGAAAATGAATAAAAAAGCAAGAAAAAGAAGAGAAAACAGATTCAGGTTTTTTAAAGTAAAATAATACAACAAATATGATGGGTAATATGTAGTAAAAATTACAGGAGCATTTCCCCTATTGAACCCATCTTATTGATTCCTTCACAGATTACTCTACTTGACAATGTGAAGCTGTGGAATTACATTGGTGAAGTTTGCATTATTTGTTTCAATTTTATAAACAAATTTATCATGAAATTTTTGAAAAGAAAATGGTGGTCTGAGAACAAAATTATACTTCAATTTCCTGTCAAGCAATTGTTTTCAATGTAGATCAGTACAACAATAATAGTACAGATAATGAACAGTAAACATTTCAAATTGCTATATCCAATAGTTTCTGAGATAAAGGGTCATCAGTATTAAGAATTTAACAAGGGTAACGTAGGAGAGGAATCTCGCCTTAATGCTGATGAAGTCGTAGTGGAGTATTTCACAGATTTTCTTCATGTAAGTGCTGATAGATCGCCAAATATTTATTTGCTTTATTGATCAAACTCTTGGGTCCATTTGACTACGGGCAAAATCATATTGTGATACAATGGTGCAAGGGATTGGATTAAGATTGTGTTATGATGGTGCAAGGGTAATATCTGGTCATGTAACGCAATCAACATATATTTTTTTCCATCCATTATTGGAATTCTTATTTGTGTCCATCTGTCAATAAAGAGAAACTATTATGCATTTAGGTCTGCATCAGAACCACACATTCCAATTTTATTACCTGCCTGGTGGAACTCCAACTCGAAGTTATTAAGTATACTAAATTGTGGAACGAGTGTGAAAAGCTAAAGAGTTTTAGAAATCAAGTTTTGCTCTGAACAGTCAATCTATTCAACCTGCCTTATGACATACAGTTTTGACTTCACATTTCTGGTACTGTTTCAAGACATTTGTTTGACAGATATCTTGCTTGATATTTTGCAAAAGAGACCATTTCATGTTCACTGTTATGTATAAATAGTAAGGAATACTTTTGATATGCTAAGAACCAAGGGGAATGAACAGTACTTTTCTACTATCTTTGAAAAAGCCTTCAAAATAAACAATTTGTGCCTCACACAAGAATTCAGCCTCCTGTCAAGAATTCAGCCTCCTGTCAAGAATTCAGCCTTCTGTCAGGCCTGAATGTGTTCAAATGTATTCAAAATTTTGGGGCAACATTTGATGGAAAAAGTATAATACAAAAAGTATTGTAAAAGCTGCCCCTTAGTTTGCTCTGAAATGTCAGTGTGTACATAGTTATTTACTTCAATGTTAGTGGTACAGTGGCATTTATGTTGCAAGTAGGGAAGGTGGTAGGCAAGTATGAAACAAGGCCGATAGAGTAAAATAAAATGAAGCAATATAAAATAATTTTTAGCGTGTGTGTCATGCACTTTTTTGAGGCACCCTTTCTGACTTTAATTTTATTTTTATTCAAGAAGGCCCTACACATATCTCATAATAATGTACCATGTTACATTAAGGCCAGCAGTAGCTGATGGGGTCAGGTGAATTTTTTCCTTTATTTTCCTGCATTCATTGAGTTTTGACTGAACTTTTGAACATGATCTCACTTTTAATACTAGTGAGAGAAAATGCACACTCTGCCTGCACTTATAGTTAATGCTTTTACTTGTGGCTGTTTAAAAATAATTATTTGTGATACAAGTGGTAAAAGTGACATTTTATTTTGCAAGTATGAAAGGTTGTGGCACAAAGCCGAGTGACACAATCCTATGAGCAAAATAAAATCTCTTCCATACCCTATTTCTTAGACAGCCTTGCTGACTAGTCATCCATTTTCCTTTCTGTCTTTCTTGTCCTTTTCTCCTTTATATCTTGTTGATTATTTTGGGCCTTCTGGCCACATGAAAGTATTTTGTTTTCTTTGCTGCATTTAAAGGTTTATCAGAACACTTGAGCATCACCTCACTTGCAACACTAGTGCTAAAAATTGAACATTTAGCACGTTGGACATGCCCTGAAAGAGTCGCTTTTGGTGCTGGCTGTCTCAAAAGATTATTTTTGCATGCTGACATTGTTGTTTCTCAAATGACTTCACTTCAAAAAACTAACTTCACCCACATTTAGTGTGAAGAACCTCGTTTTTAAAAGATCATGATCATAAAGTCAATAATTTTACACTTTACCCATGAAGTGATATTTTTGTGAGGATATTTGGGAGCTAAAGGTCTGCATTTGATTTGTACACAAATAATGTTACACAAAATATTCTCTTCCAACATAAACAATTTATTAGTCTGACACACTCTTCAATTATGCATTGTATGCTTTAAGTCGATGTGAATGGTTTGATTATTACAAAAAATGTGTAAGAACCTCAAGATTGCAACATTTTAATTTCTCAGAGAAATATTAATAGTTTTATGTTCTGTAAGCCATAATACAATTTTGTACTTTCTGTTATGACTTTTAACTATTACCCATTGTCTTGTGTATATATACTCAAGATAAGCATACATATTGTGTGCTAATGTATACAACCCAGTTGCAGTCTCATTGTTCTTCAATATTCTTAAAGGAGAACTCGTCTAATAGCAAGTCAATTATAAATTAGATATTTCTCAAATAAGATAATTTTAAATTAGCATCACAGTTATATCAATTTAAAAAGACCTTTCGCCATGTCATTTCCTAAAATAAAAACTTCCTGTTACAGATTTGCATACAATTGCATTATTTCAGACTTCATATCATCTTATAGATACAAACTAGGACTCTGGATTCACTTGTACACACACTTCACAAGCTATCACAGCACTTTCTGTGATAAATTAATTACATTAATTTTCATTGCAGTGAAACACAACATTACAAAGCTCTGAGCTCATTTCACTACTATAAAATAGTATTTTCTTGATTGCATGATAATTGTTATCATGTTTTCCTCTCTTATACTCCTGCACAAATTTTTAGTGGCATTTCTAGAAATTGCTCTTGTTCACTGCTTATTTTCTGGGACTGCCGTAGGTCTGTTTTAAAAACATGAATAGAAAATGCTTCTTTCTAAAATAAATTCAATCAGCCAGTGTAATTGTGCATACAATTTTAGGGCTTCAGAATATTTATTTTTTCCTAAGTCGGGGCATTATTTTCATAAAATTTTTAAATATTTTTTGCAAGCTTTACCCAAACTACAAACCATTCTTTTCTAATTGAGAAAAATTTAGAATAAGAATTAAATGTTCATTACCATCACATTAAGTGCAAAAGGAAAAGAAAGTGCATTTGATAACACAAGAACATTTTTTCTTGAATATTATGCTTTTGTGTGCATTTACAGTAGAAAGATAGTTTTAAGTATTAACACATAAACATTAATTTGAGAATGAAGAAGTATGCACAGGCACACTGGAATGCTTTACATCACTAACTGTTTGCGGGCTTTGGCAGTGAGAGCAGAAATCAAAACATGACGAGACACTTGAACTTCTGGATTTGTTTTGATATGATTCCACATGTGTCCAACACTTCCCAATTGCACTAAGAGATATTTGCATTCATAAGCACAGTGTTTGTATGGGCCTTATGGATACAAGCTCGATGTAAAACCTTTTACTTTTGGAAGAAATCTTCCATTGTCCATTTTGATTGAGATCATTCTATTATAAATCTCTATCAATAAATATGTACAAACAATAATTTATCAAATGATAAGTTGTTACAATACACTATCTTCATAGCTCTAAGTTCTCACTCATACACAGTATTCTCCATATGAGAACTTATTTCCTACATTGGTAGGTGAAAAGAGGTTAAGTCCTTTTATTCAATGACATTCCATTTTGTGGTTATGACACATCCTTGTTTGTGGGAACACTACTTAAAAAAAAGTTATACCCACTGAATTTTTGCATCAGTAAATAAAATTTACTTGAGCAATAAAATGAATTGAGAACACTATCTCAACATATACAAAACAGCTGCTACATCTTAATACACATATGATTCTTCATTCTAACACATTCAACTTGCGTTCATTTCACTATCTTGCAGTTAATTTTGTATTGCTTGGAGAGCATTATCATTAGATCAGTTACACAATCATCTCTTTCCTCCTTTAAAACAAATTTATTTATTTTCTTTTCCTCCAATTCCTCCCTTCACATACTTCCTTTTGGGATTTGCAGCAATTCTGTTGCATATATCTGTAGGAACAATATTGGAATCCATAATGAGAGAGGAATTCACGACAGGTCATACTTCCAGCAATATCAGTAACTTTGTCTTCACACTCAGTGCCGGCCACTGCAAGAAAGGGAAAATTAAAATATTAATGTAAACAATACATAGCATATCATAATGCATATTATACAGGAGTTAGTGTTTACTTTAGACAAAAATTAGATTCTATGCTCATTAGCATAAAATATTTTGTTCTTCATGCTCCATGCTTGTTATTGACATTTTAAATTCGATTGGCAACAATGCAATTTTAATTTTATTAAATGTTAAGAGAAATGCATCAGAATATGAAGAAATGTATTCATTGTTAGCATTCCAATGAAAGATGCTATTGAGAATTGTTCTTTGATAAGTCAATCAAGAAAAGTATACTCAAATCACATACTATTTTATAAACTTTATTGTTAGTTACACATTCCCAGTCTTAATTTTCATGTTAAAAGCTGTTTTGTGGTTAAATAAAGATAATAGCATTCTCTATTGTAGTATAGAGGTGTAAGTTTTGTGTCAATTTCTTTAAAAAGCAGTCATTCTTAATGAAATGACAGTCAACTAACCATATTCATTCTAAAAGTAAAAAAAGAAGAGAACTTTTCTGTGTGTTAGCAGTTAGAGTTTTGTTTTTTTGAATTTCTAGATTACGGACTATAAAGAGATTGCAGCTTATCACCCTTTACACAATGAACTGTAAATAATCAATTATCTCTAGAATTACTTTATTAAGTTCAGGTTCAATGAACTTTCTTTTTTGAAATGATTTACAGAGAAAAAACTACTTTTCAGAGTAGGTCTGAACAGTTCAGGTGATGCTGTGACCTAGTTAATAATGCCTGGGAATTGCATCTCCTGGGCAGTTCACATATTGTGGACTTGTGCCTTCAAAAATCTTCAGAATTACTACTGATAATTACTTCCCTTTTGGTTACACACAGCTCTGTGCTTTACACTTCTGTTTAAAGCTAAAATTAATTTGCTAAGAAATGATGAAGTATAGTACAAATTGTAAGATAAAAGTATAAAACAGGATAAAAATAACTGTGTCAGAATCAGTAGGTCTCTATAATTAGGATCTTCAGAATTTCCCCAAAGAGTTTGGGACAGGGTAATGAAGTGAATGTTATTTGCATTCAAGAATATGGAAGATCTGTTTGTATCTTTATTTTTTAATAAAATGTTTTGGGTTAATATATATTGTTTAAAAGTTGAAACGGATCTGTAATAGAAGATAACATTTTTCTTTAGTTTATTTATTAGTATTCTGAAAATGATTTGTGGATGAAGACAGTGATCATGAAGAATGTTTAATCTTGTTAGATTTAAAGTGTAGTGATTTGATAAAATGTATTTTATATTTGAATAACATGAAGGTGTTCTTTTATTGCTTTTTTTAAAAGTTGTGTTTAAATTTCATTAGAAGAATATCGCCTCATTGTTGCATGTAACTTACCACTTTCTGTTACTATGGTTGTGTTACTGGCAACGTTGCTATTGGTAGTTACATTACTAGCATTGCCGTAAATGGAAATAGGTTCATTGTTTGATGCTGATTGATAATAAGCAGATTGATACTGCTTTGTTGTACCGTGGTAAGCATTGTACGGTTGATAAGGGTTTGGTCTGTATGTGTTAACAGATTGTTGCTGGTATGGATTTTGTGATGTAGGGTTTCTGTTACTACTTTGCTTTCTAAATTGATGTAAGTTACTAAAATCATATGGGTTCTTCGTTGTACTTGGTCGCAGTGGGCTGATGTCCACTGAATAGGGATTTTTAATTGTTGTAACAGACGTTCTTTGTCTACCTTCTTTGTCAAAAATGTTTCCTGGTGATTGGTTTGGTGCATTTGGATTTTGTGTTGGTCTATTAAACTGGTAGTATGGGTTTTCAGTAGTAGTTGAATAGGTGTTATAATAATTGGTAGGTCTTTGTGTATTGGGAGTGGTGCTTCTAGACACGTCAGGTGCATAAGTACTTGAACTTCCCCAGCCTCTGCCATCCCAAGGTGACCTGTTCAGGATTTCACACTGTTATAACAACTATGTACAAACTGCAGTGCATTTAGAGGAAGAAATTAGAAACTTTTCTTCCTTTTGGTTTGTAGATAAATATTACACTAACTTATAAATACATTAAAAATATTTTCTAGAGAAATACTTTCAAGATGGAAATTTTATTTTCTTCATAAATCATAATTAAAATAAGACATTTTCATTATCATTTCAAAAATAATGAAAACGAATATAATGTAAATAATATTTGCATAGAATATACAGAAAGAGCTAACAGTAGAACTTTTCATGATACGATCAGGTGATTACCTTGTAATGTTGTTGGGACTTGCATAAACTGGCCGGGATTGGGTGGCTGCCGAAGCTGCATCACTGCGTCGTATATACGTAGGTGTATTCTGAGAATAATCTGGGATGATATTTTCATGTTCAGCTACACAGCGTCCATTTAAACAATACTGTGAACAAACAAATTTCTTCTGAAACTACTGGATAAAGTAAGATATTTTAATTAATTTACTCCCAACCTGTGTTGCAATTCAATTAAAAGCATGGATTTAAGCTTTTTAGTGTTTTGAAAGTGCACACATTACAATATTATTTTCTGAAAATATGAAGTCTTGTGATATGTAAGATTTGAATGCTTGTAAGTACCTGCCCATCTCCACAAGGAGAACCTTCTGCAGCTGGTCGATAGGCCACACAGTATCCCGAGCCAGCATCAAAGCAAAATAGTTGAGCACAAACACGGTCATCTTTCTGTGTAATAAAAATAATAAATTTAGTACAAGAATGTCATGTGGAGAAAAGAGCATTATGCATTTGGAGAATGAAAATGATCATACTCTGATGAAATGCCATAATAGGTGGCGTTTAAATTCAACAATGTGCAAGACATCAGAAAACAAGGTAGAACTTTGTGTGAAGAGAAGTGTTTTGTCTTGGTGTTGTTGTTGTTGTTACTTTGTAGAGGCAGGTTAGAGAAAGTTAATAGCAGTCTTGATTCAAATATTGCTTCATGCAAGTTCATAACAAGAAAAGTGTGTCTCCAAATGTGATTTCTCTCTTTCAGTATAAAATAAAATATTGCATTAATAATGTATAAATATTGCATTATTAAATATTAGTTAATTAGAATAATTACTACTAGATAAACAAGTTGTTTCAATGTTGTTTTAAACCTAATTTTAATATCACCGGAAATTCTGAAATTGATGTTAAAATTTTTTTATGATGAACAGACAGGATACACATTTTTAAAAAAAGTTGGACTGAAATGTTTTTTTTATTGCTTTGAAAATTATAGTGCTCAAGTCAGTGAATTAGAAAACATATTGGCATTAAATGAAAAACTTCTGTAACAAAGAAATTTTGTTTTTATATGTAGGTAATTACTTCCTCTAACACTCTGTAACTAGAATCCTCATTTTATGGGCTCTTGACACCTAAAAATTGGTGATTGACAAAACATCTGTTTGTCTGTCTATGGTTTATGCTATTGCCTTAAACCTTTCAGAAGATTTTCTACAAAATTGATATTCCAGAATCAATCGGGATGAATTGACGTATCCTGTGAGTTTGAAGTGAATAAATTGAATTTTGGGGGAAATTTAAATGAAGCTTTAACATTTTCTTACTTCTCTCAAAAATTACTTTTATTTATTTATTTATTCCAAATTTATTTTATTGATGATTTTCTTGAGTAGCAACAAGGACACTCAATAAAATGGTGCAGGTCTCATTTTCTTTAAAATCTGTGAATATTTGAAAATTGCAAAGGTTCAACATTTTCTGTGCCTACCCAAAACAGATCTTTGAAGACAAGATCTTTAAATAAGATGATGTTAATATTTTAAAAATATGAGTACTTTTTGCGTAATTTTCCGTGAAATATATGCAAGTTTTAAACTACAATTTTACAAGTCTACAAGTCTCAAAATTTTGCTTTAAATTGTTTCCTTGGATAGAGCTTAAATTCTTAAAAAACTGATACAGGTCTCATTTTAGGCAAAAAAAACTTGAGTGTTTGAAAATAGCATAAAATTTAACATTGCAAATGCACATTATTGATGATAGGGATTTATTCCTTAATGAAATCTGTTCTTACAAATTAGAACTTTAAATAAGGCAATGCAAATTAATTTTGAATTAAGAGTGGTTTTTGCGTAATATTTGCTTGGTGTAAAGGCAATTTGTAAAAAAATATTTTCTCTTTAAACACTTTTTTTAAAAATGGTTCCAAATTGTTTCCAGTTTTTTTATTGAAGAGGTGAATAAAAAGGGAAAAGGTCCCATAATTGGTAAACTCTTTGTATTGTCAAAAATTGTGAACAAAAATTTAACCTTTCAAAAGTACAATATTGTTGACCGAGAATTTTTCTCTTACTGAAATCTATTCTTTAGAACTTGATCATGAGATAATGTAAATGAAAATCTCTTGATTTTTGAAAATTGCTTATGCAAATGTTCAACTTTGTTTTTAAAGCATTAGGAATGTTGAATGTTCCTTAGAGGCTGGTGGTATAGGGTTAATGTAAATTGCCTGCTGATTATAAGGTCCTGAGTTAGAATCCCAGTGCAGAGAAAAACTTTTTGATAGTGGGAATCAATTCATTTATGCAGGTTCAAGTAGTTTTATAATATTGCATAGCCATTACAAAAAAAGTATGTGCTGTTTAAACATATGCTTGAAATTCATTGTTGCAATGTTAAATAAATTATATTTATAATGAGTTAATGGATTTATCAGAAATATTTTGTTAAATTACTGTTACGATATCTACATGCAAATTTCAAAGAAACTATTTAAAGCATTTAGTAGCATCTACCTACTTTATATAAAATCCAAGTTTCAAAATATTTGAGATACAGAGTTTTTCATCTTAATGTAATCAGTTCATGTTAATTATTTCTAATGTTGTTTTCAAGCAAAAGCAATGTTGTTATTATGATAACTTTTGTGTCTAAAGTTAAATATTTCTATGAAAGCAAATATCTGCATGTAAAAGTTACTGAATATGTTATGTAGTAAAATTTTCTCGAATCAATATTATGAAATGTGTTATTATTCAATTTCTTTCTGGGAGAAATCAGTAATAGGACTTTTAAAAGAAACTTCTGAAGTAAGGATGATCATTTTGATGAAAAGAAAATATAATTTACAAAACAGGCGCTGGTCCCACGATCTTTGCGGCATTGGGCATCCAACGTCAGCAGCTTCCCAGGGAGAACACGAGGCAATGATTCATCCTCATGAGGTGAATTGTATAAACAGGTTGCTGTGTCTCCACTGAAATAAAATGTTCGCATCAGAAATTTTTCTTTCATATGTTTGCCTTTAGAGCAGAGGTCAGTTTAAGAAAAGATGTAAAGGTAGATACTTCTTTGCCCTTACTTTAAAAAGTGATGGAAAGAAGCCACACTGCAAGGAGACCAACGGAATCCCTTTTCTGTATGTCGTAGGTCACTCATGATGAACCCATCCTCCCATCGACACTTCTCCGCTCCAGGTCCACCAAGATAGCTGGGAGGTGGAGATCCATCATGAACTGCTCCTAACCTGCAGGTGAGTTGTTCACATTATCATTCAGTTTTGAAACATTGATATTCAACCTGAATTATATTTTATGTACTAAAAGCATTTTCTTGAACAGGAGTTGTATAAACCCTTTGAAGAATGTGTTTCTCGTCGAAGAAAGTAAAGGACAAACTATTTTCATATCAACTTTTCTGGATTGAACATCAGTATTAATGTACTACACAAAACATTCTCGTTTTCATTGAAATTCTTTTTGAACAGTTTTTTCATTGAATGAATTTGTTGGCCAAACAACTGATGGAAGTATCCTAAATAGACTTGTATAAATCAGCTCTAACTTACAGATGTCCTACTTCATGAGCACCAACAATAATACCAGAAAATCCTCCAGTATCTTCAATAATGGCCACACTATTCACTTTCTCTAAGCGCTTGTTCACAACACATGCTCCTCCCACGTATGCAAATCCTGGAAAAAATCAATTTTATTTAGAATTTCATCATAATTTGCACATTCTTAATTTGTTCAAATTTGGACAGAATTGAAATTAGCCTCAGATACTTTAATGTATCAAATAAATAATATTAAATTTGAGTGTGAAAATTATTGCACATATTTATTATAATAATCCAAAGTGAGAGAAGAAAGAAATTTTATTTGAAAATCTTAATTGTTTTTTATAAGAAAAGAATTCAATATTCAATAAACTTGGTTAAGAAATTAAGGAAGTCTCTAGAAGCACAGTAATCTTCAAAAGCGTTGCCAGACCCCAAGTAGGGCACGGCAATTTTATATCAGTTTGTACAAGGTTGAGAGAATTATTGAATGAGTTTGGTTAAGGATGATTTACATTTAGTTTGTTTAATTTAGTTAACATTTTAATTACATTAGTATTCACATCTGTTATTCATGCTTTGTTAATTTTTAATGATTTATGCAGAAGTAAGATTTTTAGTTTGTTTACCAACCTTGAAATACACCCACTTTATTTCTTTTTATACATTTATGTTTGGTTAAATATTTAAGCATTTGTATTAATAGGCAACATTTCATTAAATTTTTCCTGATTTGACTTGTGAGAAAAATTGGTGAATTATGTTACTAGTTGCTGAAGTTTTCTAGATATTCTTGAAAGAGAATAATAAGAGGTATTAAGATTAAAAAAAAACACAAAATTGAGATTGAAAAATTTCAAATATTTACCTTACTTCTGCATTAAATTAACTTTATCTGTCATTCCCATATTTAGTTTATTAGTCTTTTTATTTTAAACATATTTTCAAAACAGAAATATTCTTCTTGAATTACTTAATATGTTAAAAGTTTCTTTTTCTTCAAATATAGCTCATAAAATTTGTACAATTTGTTTATTTTTTATAATAAATTAAAATGATGTTTCAGCTTTTTTAGAGTGCATAAAATATTTAATTCAAAAAAAATATTTCTTCAGTCAGTTAGAAAAGGCCCTTTGTTCTGAGGATGGCTGGTGTGGCTTACCTTATCTTCCTGCTCCAGGGCAGCAGACAGAACAAACAAAAGGGAGAATTTAAATATAACTTCTGTAGTTACTAATACACAATCTTACCTTCAAATTTAGCAAACAAAGGTATATGAATGGGAGAGGTACAAGAATGTTCATTACTTTGAACAACAAAAGGCCCTTTTGATTTACACTACTGTGCAAGTGCAATCAATTGTCCTACCTTCTTTTGTATTTATTGTTTTGGAGTTGTACACAGTAACATTCATATTTAGAATTGGATTTTAAATTGCAGGCAAGTTATAATATTTAATGGGTTCAATTTAAACATAAATTGAAAGATAGGGCAGGAAAGTGAATGAAGTTGCTTTAGTTTTTAGTTTTGTGAAAACACATGAAACATAAGCAGGCACAATATACTATGTTTAAGCTGCAGTAAGTTTAAAGAACTTCTTCTGAATATTGCAGTTTTATAATAGTACATTATGGATTATCTGTACTCATTAAATTTGGGTAAAATTTTTGTCAAATGATGTACATAAATTTTAGTAGCTTTGTTCATCTTAAGATTGTATATAAATTTGTAAATTTAATTAGTGGAAAGGCACAGAAGAATTGACAATCATAGAAGTTCTTAAAAAGTTGATGTGGTAAAGCATAGAGAAGGATAAGTTATTCTTTAAATCTTCATATTTTTTAAAAATGTTTTAGGGAGACATCAAGATCAAATAGAAATGGCAGAAACATTTGAATTTCTGTTTATTCAAAAGGCAAATTTTTAAATTGGTATATCATTTTGACTTTGAGCATTTATAAAACAGGAGCATGCAGTGCTTCACAAAAAGTGCACTGTGCAAAAATAGTGCAATTAAGACTCTTTTCCTACCTGCTGTGCCTCGGTTGCACACATCATTAGCAAACTGACGCCTGCACATGTCTAATCTGCAAGACAATAAACATAAGTAGAACAATTGGGAAATTAATGTAATATGAATGCTAGTTTGTGGACTGAACATTATGGTGTACTGGACTTACAGCTTCTCGCCAATGGCACTTGATGGTATGACTGTAATATTTGTTGAGACTCCATATAAAACAAAACAGATAAATGAATTTACGCAATCATAGATATGATTTTCTTTGGAAATAAGAACTGTATTAATAAAGTTTTTCTTGCATTTTTATTTTTTTACCTAATATTGTATGGCAAGTAACAAAATTTAAACATTTATTTTGACATTTAATTTTGTTTTAATGTTAATGTTTCATATAGGTGTCTCAACAGCTTATCATAAATGTACAATATACAAGAAAGGCTCAGATTCCACACCAATGACTCTTGTTAATCACTAGCCATCACATATGTCTGGTTACGTTTACCCGCTGTCCCAGCACCATCACACATTAACTTGTGGACTGCTGAGGTATGTACACATTCTGGCAGGAAGGGACTAATGGAAGGATGGAGGTAGATGAAGCCATCCAGGCAGAGGATGTCACGTACCAGCTGTCCCTTTGGTACAACGTCCACCTTTCCTCCGGCGGCACATGTCATACCTACACACAAGCAGGGCAGTGTGAGAAATGTTGCTTTATCACAGTAGGAACCCAGTAAAACATTTTGTCAAATAAATTTGCCTCATTCATTACATGAACAATTCAGTTTCTATGCAAATATTTTTATAATTTAACTAACAGCTAATCTTATAAAAACTTCATTAGAATCAGTGTCGATGTATATTACATGAATAAATTAATTGAAACAAAAAACAAACAAAAAAAAACTATTTTTTTTTCTTCACAATGTATGTAATTGAGGGTAGCAAATGTTTTAAATAACTTCCATGGCAAATCCAAAATTTTCCCTTGAGGATATTATGCATCTCAAACAAGATTATATATTCATCAATAAGTCTTCCAAATTGTTCTTTTTCCCTAGTTACTATGTAACCAAAAATTCAGTTTTTGAATAAAAATAAGCAGTCTCTATTTTTTATAACAGAATTAACAGAACATAGCTCTAAAAGAAAAGTATTGAGATAGAGTATGAAACTAACTGTTCATGACATGTTTTGAATTTTGTTTAAAGTTGACAGTGAATTGAAAAGTAAAAATATTATGTCATAGAATTTAACTTGCAATAATTTTATCATGATAACTGCTATTAGTATTCATAGAAATAAAAAAGTGAAATGAAAAACAAATTATGAAATAGAAATTATTAGATACAATCCTAACCCAAAATTAACATTAGTTGATACTGTGACCATTTTCATTGAGTCATTGGAATGGTAATTCATGCAATTCAGACAGCGAAATTAGGTAATCTTGTAATGAGGACACACATTCAACACACTCTTTAAAGTTGTTTTCTGAAATTGAGTCAAAATTAAATTTTGAAACATAAGTGAAATAAAATGGAACATGTATATAAATATGGATTTATAAACTTCTAGGGTTCATAGTACTTATAAATTAAATGAAATCTTATTTATTTATCAAAATTATATAAATCATTAATATTTGTTATACATATCGAAATTCCATCCCATTGCAAATAATTGCATTTCAAATCAATCATTTTAATTTAACCTATTTTATTTCAACATGGAAAGCCTCGGTGGGATGTACTCCCTTGAATAGTTTGTGCAAACAACAATCAAGCTTGCTAGGGCTTGACGCCAAGACGATTTTGAAATTACCGCCCTTTCAAATGAAAACAACAGAAGAAATTTTGAAGCGATCGCAATTTTACGTAACATACATAATATGTCGATGAATAGGAAGTAATGTTTTATCATTGTTAAATCCAGTTGACTTTCGGTCTCTGCGGAAAAGAAAGAAAAAAGCCCACCCGTCGCTAGGTGGCAGAGTCTTACTTGGTGATGGCGACGGCGATGTCGTAGACGGGCAGGCGCCGCTCGCGGAACAGGTACTTGCCCATGTCGGTGAGCGCCGCCGCCGAGTCGATGGCGTCGCGCCCCACGCGGTTGCGCTCCAGGTAGGGCGTGGCGTCGCGGCCCTGCGCACAACGCCCACGCAGGGGAATGGCTTTGATTCTAATTTGTCTTTATAGAAAAGTTAATGACCTCCACTATTCATAAATCGATCTAAAATTAATAAGGAAATAAAACATTTCGTACACCTGGACCTAGACAGGGCTGTTTGTATTCCTTAATTTTTTTTACCTGTAAATGGAAAGGGAATGACGTTTTAAGCATTTTTGAAAGCTGGTCTTGTGGTTCATGACATGATGACTATTCTTCTTTTAAAATATTAAGTCAGTTGACACTTCGTTAGCTGTGACTGTCAGACAATCGGGAGCTTGGGTGAATCACTATAACGATATTCAGTCTCCCGATTGAATCACAGGGTCCCAGCTGACGAAGTGTCAACGGACTTACTGTTTTAATTGTAGTATTGGTCATTGTCCTTCCATTGCTTCGGCCTGGTTAAGACTCTCGGCCAATCCTAGTGGAATTTGTGGTAGACAAAACCACCTTTCAGAAGTTCTATTTCCCCCGCAGTCTTTTCTTCCACCTCATCGTTTCAATCTGTTCATTAGATCATCAGTATGCTAATGTGGGCTTTAATGACCTTCGTAGCTGAAGGTCCCCTCAACCCCCTCCCCCAAAAAACAATAAATAGTCTGACTAAATATAGCGTTTACCTTAGTAGGGCGCGATACAGAATGCAAGAGTAAAAGAGATGATACTTAAAGGGAGAATATTGTAAATGTTGAGCAGAGTAACTACAGGCTCAATTATGCCTGGTTCGAGGAAAGCTCCCAAAAAGTAGGCCCCCCTCCCAGAAATTTGGCATTAATAACTTCAGCATTTATTGAATTCCAGTAAATGTAGTACATTAGAGTTGAAGAAAGGTAATGTTATCGCTGACCTTGACACTTTTGTTCCCATGACAACTTTAAATTTATAATTGGCGGCACCTATGCAAGCAGCCACCACTCGCAGGCTTGACATTCCTTGTCGTTTGCGCTCGTGTTGTTTACTGCATGTATTGGGGAAATATTTGCGAATACATGATGCATGAACTATAGTTTCTAATTTTCTAGAAGGTAGTTTTCTTAACACTTTTTTTCTTGACACTGCTCAAGCACCGCTCACGGAAATTTAAAATTTTACATGTCTGTTATCACATAATTTATTACCCGTTATTTACCGTTTGAATGAAACAAACGAATGCGCTCGTGGTTTGTACGATGCCGTAAAAACAAGGTACTATATCGCTCAGAGAAATGTGAACAAAGTAGTTTTTGGTATTTTAAAATAATTTCCTATATTTGCAGATTGGGGTCAGGACCTTGCAGAAATTGCTTGCATTTTCCAAACATTGCATGAATATATTTCGCCTATGTTTCCGAAAATACATATTCACAAGGGTTTAACATCACGTAGAAAATTTGTGTGTTAAAAAATCTGCCTTCTTGATAGCCTTCGAGCTCAACATGCTTCAGTGTATGAAACTTTAATTTTTAGCGCGGGGAGCATGTCGCCAACAGCATTCATTTCCATTTATTTAGATTCGTTCTTTTTATCAATAATGTTTAAGTGTAATGGCTAAATTACTGCTTTTCAGATGGTATTCCCACTGCCCAGATCAATGCTGACGATAATAAGGAACGTCTTCATCGTCACGTGAGTCCAAAATAATTTCACTTGAAGTTTATTTCTTAGATATGATTCTGGAATCAGAATAGAGTGCGACATTTAGAAATAAGTATTTTTTGTGCGCTTTTTCAGTTGAATTCCAGTTGAATATTTTTATCGATATTTTATGTCTTTATGTATTGTTCGTAGTGTATAGTGAATTACGGCAAATGACGTAATCTAAATAATTTGTGAATTAACCATTTTATGTTCCCATTATCCAAAATGGATGAACAAAACATTCGAAGTTGAAATATCTTCGAAGCATACTTGAGATTTTTGTCTGTTAAGTGCAAATTAGCCATCATGAGTTGGCGAGGGTAAGTGAAGTGTATTGCGTTGACAAGAAATAGTCGATAAATATGTGAGCTCAGACTGCTTCTTTCTAACTCGGTAGCGAAGACCACAATCAAATTGTGTTGCATACTTTTTATGGAATCTTTTTTGTACATAAGTGAATTGCCGAAATGGGTCTTGAAACTATAGAAAATAATTGAAGCATTAAGACGCATCATTGGCAATTTGTTGGAGATTCTTCAATTTCTGATTTAATCATCTCAGTGAGTTAGTAATGCAAAAGTTTAAATAATGTCTCTCGGGCTTGATGATGTCAGAAAGTGGAAAAATAATTGCTTAATGTTTCTTACTTTTTGTTAGCAGCTTCTTTGTTGAAATTGCTTAACACCTTTGTTTAGCGATGAGTTGTCAACGAGCGAATTAAGTAATCATTATGCCATGCCTTATGTCATATGTGAAGACATTCATGGGCAACATGTTAAGTGGCAAAGGTGTGACATTATAATAAATTTCATCTGACGTTTTCTTCGTAATTAGGTGGAACAAGACATTTGGAGCCTGTGTTTATTATTAAACCACCTGAGCAGCTTGTTTTGTTGTTGCGGAATTCGGATCATCCATTAGAAGTACGTGTATCACTAACACTCTTACGTAAGAGCAATGCTATAAACCGTTTAAAAACGGCGGCGCGGCGGCGGCCCGAGGACGTGTCCTCGGGTGCCATTTCGCGAAGGATTTCCCCCCGGCAGTCGCCTCGGCGGGGCCGCGTGAGGACCCGTAACTCCGCAGGCTGGAAGTCGGCCCGCAGCCGTCACGAGGCGAGAGGGCTGGCCGCGTGGCGAGGCCACCTGGAGTTGGGACGGCGCCGTTTGTCACGGGGCCCTCGCGCACATCGGCGAGGTGTAATTTGCGCCGGGCGATCGGTCGATTAGTCGCGTCCGCCTGCGCTCGTCGGCGATCTGATCGATGGGGTTCTGAGTTGTCGATCGTGAAGGTCACGGCGCTGCTCTTGAAGCGGATGGAGAGCGCTATTGCGATTTGATGCGAGTTATAAATTAAGGAGAAAGGTAACTATTGATTATTGAGGTGGGATGTGTAAGAGAACAAAGAAAATACGGAGCGTTATCGACCATTAAGAAGAAAACTATTATTTTGAATTCTTTAATTTCATATTTGTTTTTTAAAACAATGTTTATTAATCGTCGGATCTACGCACATTGTGGAATGATGCATAATGATGGGCTGCTAGTGTGGAGGACATGATGAATTTATTACCTGTACATTATTTTAACATTTTTGTTTTCACAGCTGAGTTGCTATTTTTAAATACTATGATAAAAAGGAAGTGAAATATACTTTAAGTTAAAGAACTGCATTTTAAATTAATTACGGAAGATATGCTATATTATTTAATGACTTACCCTGGATATGATGATGCCAGCTATGCTTATGCGGATCTTGGGCCCTTTCAGCAACTTATACCTGAGGTCGACGCCGTTCCAGAAAGACACGAAATAGCGTTTGATTTGGACGTTGTCACCGCCGTGCAATCTGCGAAGCAATGCAGTGTAGTTAGCCAATTGTCGCAATTACAATATTTTATCAGTGAATTTTTATTAATTTCTGATTGAATCTTTGTTAATGAAAACTTTCGAGGAATCGTAATCATTTTGAAGTATTTTTACGGCCCTTAATTTGCTCTTATCTTTAAGGGCACAAGCGTAGGAAATACAAAGAGCATTTAAATTATAACTTCGATTTTAGATTCTTTCCACTTAAAGCTACGGTCCAGAATTTTGATATGAAAATACTTCAAATATATGACGTTGCGTGATTTGCAAGAGAAGCTCGGTAGATAGAAAATAAGCAATGAATGATTATCCGGTTGTTATATTATGTCAAAATGATTGTTTTTTTTACTTTCGCTTATTTGGAATTGCATCGTAGTTAGTATACGAAATCTTCTCAGGCGAACGACAGAATGAAGTTCGAGTTGAGCACTTTTTGGCGCATTTCAACCATTTAGCTGGACTGGCAATTTGCTTATTATTTTCTAAAGGTACAGAAAAATAATGTAGAGAAGAATGCAGTAAAATAGCCTACTCCCAATTCCCAGAGGTGAATGTTGGCCGATTGCTACTAGTGTGCAGAAAAAAGGAGAGCAAGGGGCACACGAGAGGCAATATTCCTCTTGCTAAGGAAAGACATTTCTTATTTATATTCTTTATTAATATTCGTTTGAACGTCTCAGGCCGAAATTCCAAATAATTTGACTTTGGTTCGTTGCAACGTCGTGTGCTGACTTGGCCCGCGCCGGTGGTTCGCTCTGTTTGTGATGGTGCGGCGCGGCGCGGTGCGTACCTGTAGCCGTCGTAGTCGACGATGACGAGGATCTCGGGGTAGATGACGTAGGGCGCCTCGCGGCTCGTGCGCGCGCCCCGCCGCGCGCGCCGCACGCGCTTCAGCAGCAGGTCGGGCTCCATGAAGGCTGCGCATGCGCACAACACACGTTTCTCAACACTTGGCAGTCTGCTTGGAGCTCTGCTTCGATGGCGCAGGGGCTCTCGCTCGAGCTTAAACGCTCAGCGAGGGTTTTTAGAAACAATAGAAGGAACATACCTAACTATTAGGATTTGGCCCTCCTTTAGAAAAGATTTCGCTACCCCTCTGAGTATTATTATATAACGACTATAATTCTCGGTAGGAAAGTAATGGAGGAGTTGATGGGTAAGAGATAAACTACTCTCTCGTTCAATACTGGTAGAAATCTGTCAAAATAACAATATTAACAATCCCTTATCAATAATCTACAAATATCAACAATCCATAATCTACTAGACGCCCTATCTCTTTATAATCCTCTCTAACGATCAAGGGACGTTATCCCAGCCACCCCTTCGTATTTTATTTGTTTGATGTTACTCGCTGCTAATATTTCAAAAGCAACATGGTTGAATGTTGTTCGTCTACTTTGATTTTGTAAAATGGCTTATTTACAAAACTAATTTTATTAAAAATATTTATAATATAATAAAAGTAAAGTTATAATAAGTAAAATAATTTCATTCTTCTGACCAACCACTATTCTGTGACATGAGTGACAAGCCTCATGATTGATATCCATGTTGCTTGTGATGCTAACCTCAACTGCGTAGCCCAGGGAAGCATTCGATGTTGAAGAGCTTTGTCTTTCGAGTCATATTGGAATATGAATATTGATGTATCATTTCGCCGGAATTGAGAATCTACTCATTGCAAATAATGTTTTTAAGCTCTTCTAAGACTCCTATCAGCCCTACTTCTTTACCTTGATCCGAGAGAAGTCCTGTCTCTAGGAGAATTATCAAACTGCCTGGAATTTTTCCTACTGTATTTCAATTAATACCCTAACCCAATAAATTCGTGTAGTCAGATTTGTTTTCTTTATGTTATAATTAACTGTTTCAAAGTAAGACATTTAGTAAAGTAAGATTAGTTCTTGGAAATAAAATACTTATACTGAAACTGAGGAGTGGATCAGTTAAACTTTGTCGTAAGCCACATACAGTTTTTATTGATTTGAGAAGAAAGTAAATCAAATTATCGAAATTCTGAAAGAAGTTCTCATTTTCACATTACGTATTTGGATTTTCCCAGTTCCTGCAATACCCCAATGACATTTTTACTTTACCTATTGATATAATGATTAAACAATAGATTCTCGGAAAGAAATTTCTTTTTATACCAATTAGTGTATACATCCATTGACACGTGTCTAGAGTGCATAAAAGTACTAGTCTCACAGCAATCTCATTAGGTACATTTTATGATTTACTAATGACCAATTCAGACAAGTTAGTAGAATCTTCATTGGGTCTTTTAGATATTTATGGCCACGTTAACCTTGTGTTCCGAGAACCCTTTCGACGCATCTTGGGTATAACATACTGATGACAGTGACATTCCTGCAGTGGAATTCAAACTGTTGGGGATTTTCCTTCGGACTGAGTACCTAGCTGGTCCTGGTAGAAAATGACAGAGAGAACATTGGTAACGGACTTTAGATTTACAAAAGAAATGCAATAGGAGGAGATGAAAATAAGATGTCAATGATACTTTTTACATTTTATGATTACGATTACATTTCTGGTGAAATGTCAATTGAAGAAATCAATAAAGTAACAAATTACAGAATTTTTAATTCCAAATTTTTTAGTATTTGATGTACTCCATTTTTTTAGGTGTGGTAAAAATTAAACATCAGTCGACTCGTACTATCATGATTCAGTAAATGCTATATACGTATTTTGATTGAAAGAAACGAATAAAGTGACTAAAAAGTAAAATCCTGCAACTACGAACCTTCCTCATAAATGTACGACGTAGAACTGTTTAATTCATGGTGATGAATGCGCGTGTTGCCGGGCGTATGAGGCACTTCAGTCAATGATTCTGTCAATGTAGTGCACGTCATAGCCGTGAGGTGGCGGTGTTCCACTCCCGCTAGGACGTGAACCCCTCCCCCCAACCTACACGTCGACATACAAGGGTCCAGCAGGAGCACGCTCTAAGTTTGTGTCTGGTTTTCCGGCAGCAGGCAGTGTAGTGAATTTTTGTGTGTGTGTATGTGGATTAAATGAAATTAATGTTCAATGTTGCGAAATCTCCGGAGTCAATTGCAACGCCATTGATTGTATACCGTGGGGGGTGCGCAGTGCTCACCGTAGTCGGAGGGCGGGCCGGCGGCCGAGGCGCTGCGCCGGAAGACGATGTGCGGGTGCGTGGGCTCTGGGGCGGCGCGGCGCGCGCGGCCCAGCGGGAAGCCGCCGCCCACGGCCACGTCGTCGCGCGGGTCCTCGCCCGCCTCGTCCAGCCACGCCTCGTCGTCCTCCGCGCTCTCCTCCGCGTCGGCGTCCGCGTCCTCCGCCGCGTCGTCCAGGTGCTGGCGCACCCGCGCGGGCACCGGCTTCAGCACCAGGTCGTGGCCGATGGTGCCCTCCTGCGCCACGCGCACATCGCCTTTGCAGTTGCTTTTCTCAAACACAAGCTCCCTCCTCTCTATTTCTATAAATGGATGCAGGCTAATAAAAAGTATTTCGAAATATAGCGAAATCATTTTTTTAATTTTTTTCCCAATAATGTTGCAAGTGAATAGAATAATTTTCTTTCCGACAGCTCCCCTGCAATTTCTTTAATACACGCTGTCAATGAAAATTGCAGTGAATGAGCAGTTTTTGAACAACAATTTTGTCACCAATAACATTCAAAACTCCGAAATTTCATCCCTTCCCCCCCCAAAAAAATACGCAAAGAGGGGCTATATTTGAGAGAAAATATACACACTTTCATCGTCTCTTAATGTATTAATTTGACCCTTTTAACATGCAACCGCATGTTAACCGCTTTAACTGAGAGCACGGCCACATTTCTGTTTATTAGCACTTCACGTATGAATAATTCACACGGAGTTCAGTATATTACTAATTTCACAATCGTGCATTTCCTTCATTTTCCGTAAATTGTTCATTCCCTTCAAGGATGAAGATGGAAAGATAATGCGGAACCGCGGAACCTGTGAAGTTCTCAGGCTTTGCATTCAGCAGTTCACTGTTAGCAATTAAAGTACGTAGGTTTGTCATCTCATTTGGTAAGAATTACGTTCTGATTTTGTGAAACATCTGTATTCATAAATAGTTTTTTTAGGACTGTGAAATGATAAATGTAAATTAAAATGGTTGGTTAAAATGGTTGGTTAAATTTCGGTTGACCTTGATTATACAGATTCCTTCAGAGGTAATCTGGTTATTATACGTACATCCACTTCATACATTTTACTACTGAAAATATATTTTTAGCAATTAAATTCAAATATATTTAAAAATGTTCTGACGTTTCAAACTCTTCAAATTCTGATGCTTTATTTCATTTTTCAGGAAATTCTCCATACTTTCAAAGCCCATTAATAGATGTCGAAGTTTAAACCAAAAAGTTCATAGCGAGCTTTGAAGTTCATGATTTTCAATTAAATAATGTTTTGTATTCGCAACGACTTGGGGAATTTTTACGATTTCCATCTAAATCGTTATGAATCGTTACATAAACTTGAAAGTATATGGTAGCCCAACGTTCGTACACTGGAGCTAGTGTCTTTGGTACACACAAAAAATCTTCACATCTCAAAAATATTGTAATTTTGCAGGAGAATGTTGTTGCCTCGAACAGTCACTCGAAACTCATTTATTTCGTTTGGGCACCGAAGATCTGACAGACACCAAAGCGATCTTCCCTTCCTCTGTCGCTTGTACGATGTCGTTTTGATAGCAAGTTTTCCAAGTATCATTACGTCTCTTCTATAAAAGAAAAGACTTCCTCAAACCACCGTCTACCGCAAAGTTCCGATGAGCTCTGTCCCGTCGCGTGTGCTGAAAGGAAAGCAGCGTGGTAGCGGAGATAATTTGCGCAGTTCTTCTGTTGTAATAGTTCCGCTTCTTTCCTGCGAAGAACGAGGCCTACCAGGAATTGTTTACAGCGGCGAGGACGCGGCCTGGAAAATGGATGTCGGATCCGCAAGAGATCTCCGGCGAGAGAAAGAAAGGGAGAGGGGAAATGGAAGAGACTACTTTCCGTTTCAGGTGCACCGGTTCCTCTTGAAACAGTGGCAAAGAAATGAACTGCAGTATTGACAGTAGAGAATGTGAACAAGATGGATGACGACTGTAATTCAAATGTCTAAATGGCAAATCAATTAATTAGCATAAATATAAAATACGCAGGAAATCTAATTTAATGTTATTTGTTTTCTGTTGTGAGCTTTGTTTCGATAGGTAAGGTGCTCACCTTGAAGAAGCCTAAACTTATGTAAATAAGTCGCAGTTGAGACATTAGTAAAAGCGAACAAAATTAGTGGAGTTATGAGTATGGCGGGAAATGACACTATTAAGGTGGAAAGGGAAAAATATTAAAAGAATGTTGGAATATTAAAGCAAACGCTATTGAAGACGTTTGAAGAAAAATAATTCATTTCGTAAGTATGGCATTTTCTTAGTAAACATCTGAAAAGGAAAGATTCTGAAGAAAAGAAAGGCATTTGTAATTGATGCAGCAGAAAAATGTTAGTTTTTCAAGGTAATTGGATCTGAAGAGAACGATGAAATTGAAATGTCTGATTACAGCGCCAATTGAGTATTTACAGATTAATTGTTGGCTTATGTTTCGTAATATGTTTTGTAGAAGATTCTATTGGGTATATTGTTAGTTGTGCATTAGCCATAAGAGATGGCTGGCCCCCGATTTGGGACGCTGTAGAGATGAAAGGAAGCGTTGTGGACGGTGGTCCCGCGTAGGAGGAGAGCGGAGAAGGAGGCGGGTTGAAAAGCTTGATTGCTGAGGGCCGCAGCGAGCGGCGGCGGCGGCGGCGGCGTGGAGGGGTGGACTCACCATGAGCAGCTTCCCGTCCCGGGCGTCCTTGCGCAGCAGCAGCGCCGCCAGCGTCTGCTCGTCCTGGAACGCCTGCCCGATCTCCTCCTCCTCCTGCACACGCGCGCACCGCCCGCATCAGCGCTCGCTCCGCGCGCCCCTGCTCTTCACTTCCCACTTGGCTGGTCTCTGCGTTCGCTTGTGTGATAGTGACGGGCAAGTTTAGGTTTTCTGGGAGTTGCATTTTGCTCTAAGTTAATTTTCTAGCTATGTTTTGTTTGTATTTGTGTGATTGGTTGAGGGTTCCGGGCAGGAATTTCATGCCTGAAGAAGGCGGTGTTGTTCCCCAGCTGGAGGGTGAGAATCAGTGGTGACCTACATGTCTGCTTCCGGGGGATTTCTCCCTCCACATATCCCCCCAAGCAGGGTCCCGCCCCTGCCGGGCCAAGCTTTAAACTCCTCACTGTTCTCCCTATGTCAGTGCTACACAAGTGCATATTAGCGTGTGTGTGTGTGTGTGTGTGTGTGTGTATGTGTGTTTGAGGTGACAAAGATGAACAAGAAAAAATTCTCCGCGACCCGTTTGTTAGGGTATTTCCCTGAAATAGCCAAAAAGTAATTGGAGAAATCACAGAAAACTGAGCATGGCATAAAACCTAAGACTTTCCGGTCAAGTTCCTGTAGAGACAACGGCAATGCTGCCTCTGAGAACTCTCTGCCGATTTTGTTTGTTGGTGTTTGTTGTGATGAAATTGGTGTTGTCAATACTAGCAAATGAAGTTTTTATTTTATTGTCGGTTTACATTGTTGTGCAAGTTTGTTTTTAGAATTTTTTGTATTTAAATTTGAGTTTTAAATCAATTTTTCGTTGTATAAAATTACAAAGAATTTATTAGATTTCAAATAATTAAAAAAAACATTTAAACAGTTAAAGGGTTTTATAATTTTCAATGTTTTTTACGACGTTTTTTGTGTTTTTTTTTGTTTTTGTTTAATAACGGTTTTATTGAGCGCTGGGCGAAATGTAGTCCAGCTTGCTTTAAAATGTCAATATTCACTCTAACTTAGTGAAAATTGTACAGGAGAGCATTTCGATGATTTGGAGGTACAGATACGTTTAAGATGAAAATAGAAGGTGTAATATTATGCAAAGATTTTCTACGTATCTGATTTGACAACTATTTTAACGTAACCCTTAACTGTCATTAAGGGTTACAACTTGCCAAAATATAATAGAAGAGCTTATTTCCGAAGCGACGTATCTCCGTGAAACACAATTTTCCATCAAGGGAAAGCCTTTAATGACAGCCTTAGTTTGCCAGATAGAATGAACCCCAAGAATCGGAGATGGAGGAAGCAAGCAAGAGACGTAGCTTCGGAAGCGAGCAGTGTGGTGCGGGGTGGGGGTGGGGGTGCTCACGTGTGCGGCAGCTCGTCGTAGGAGAGGCGGTGCGGCGCAGGAGGCGTTGGGCGAGGCGGGCCCAGGCGACGCAGCGGCCCCCCGCGCAACCACGCCCTCGGCGCGCCTGCAGGCGCAGCCGCGCGGCCGCCCGAAGGCGGATCAGGCGCACCCGTGCCGGGCCCGGCCCCCCGCCCCCGCCGCCGCGCCCTCCGCGCCCTCCGCCCCGCCCGCGCCCGGCGACGAGCGCAGGCGCACCACCTCGTACTGCGGCACTGCAACACACGGCACACTGGCATTCACCGGCACAGCAAGCAATACGCCAATACAAACAAAATGGACATCAAGCATACCTTACGCTAGCAAACTAGCAAGCGAAAGTGTACTAATAGCATCATTACGTGAGCAACAGCGACTCATTACACAGTATTCATTTCAAACACGAGCAATGAAATGGGACTACAGAATAAAATCCTTTGAGAGGTTGCTGTGAATTTCAGCGGGAATTCACACACACACACACACACACACACACACGGACAGAGACATCCATACAGATAGACACGCACGCACACCCAACCACACACGGATACACACAAGAGAGAAAAAAGCATTTTGACATAACAATATTAGTTTTCGATTATTTTGTTTACTTTTTTGAAGTTAGGAAAATATTTTGAACAAAGTTGTTGTAGGCGTTTGGAAGATTGTTACGCATTCCACCGTAAACTTCCTCAAAGTCTGTGGACGCCGTTTCGATATTTTTCTGTGACTCGTAAAAGGGAAAGTAAAGATCAGGAAGTAAGTTTGCAGATGACAATTTTCCAGCGTTAATCGTTCTTTTCAATCTATTAATATTTTCAATCTAGATGCACGGACAAAATATTAGGGGCGTGGAAAAATTGCACGCCTGTTCCATTTCACAGCGAATCAACGCTACACGTATTCGAAGGACGGCATTCGCTTCGGAATCAAGAGAGAAATGTCCGTTAAATTGCGCATCGACAAACCGAATCCGCTGCATGAAACTCCGGATCCGTCGCCGGTCCAGGCAGCCGAGGCCCCGCGCAGCGCCGCGCCGGGCCGGGCTGGGGCGAGCGGGGCGCTGCGAATCAATCGCCGAATGATTTCCTCCTCGCCGTCCGGAGCGCGGTCGAAGCAATGCAACGCGATGCGATGTTGTCGCTGACCGGTGGCGATCCCTGCCGGCGGTGCAGCCGCCGCCTGTCATTCGGCGTTTGTTTCCGGGAGAGCCATTATCCGCCTTCGCTTCGCTTTCACTGCCGCCGTCGCCTCCTCCTTCCACCACTGTGGCGGGGCATTTGGACGCGGAGAGGCTGCTTCGAACACCGCCATGCCACCGTCACGGTGCTAATTGCTCTTCTTCCGCCTCGGGCGACCTTGGGGGCCGCGGTCGCGGCGCTCGCCGTCCGTGCTTCAATTCCCGGGCGATGCACGCGGAATGTGAGGCGGACAAAGTGAGTTCGCAGAAGGTTTTCTCTGCGTTGCCCTGTTTCTCGTACCTCTCATTTCACCATTGTTCGGTCACGAGCACCCACTTCGCATTTCATCATCAACGCCCGGATACCGGTTCGTTCCCTCCGTTCCTAAGGTTCCCAGAATGGTAGATATAGGAATCTGAATATACGAACGTGATTGTGATTCGTTGTGAATGTTCTGAATTTCTTTAATTATTTTAGTGTATGACAGCCTGTTTCGAAATTTACGCTATACCTTCAATTTATTTTCCAAAATTTTCGGCTACATTTAGTACCTGTCATATCGTGACAGTTTTCGATCCCTAGAGTTATCGTATCCCAGATGTGTGAAATTTCATTTCATAAGTGTTGATTTGGTTCATTTGATTTATTGAAAATCCAGTTCACAGCTACATAAGTGTTGAGGTGGTCAATAATTTCGGAAGTTTTTCTTTCTTTCCGTGTCCATTTTAGGTTTTGTTTGATGCTTCCACACAGTCGATTGAGTTTATTCGTTGTACGTGATTAATTGTGTTTGAAATAATATATTCTAAGTACTTGGTTATATTGATTTGTTATTAGAAAATAGATAAATCTGTTTGCGTAGTCGTCAAGATAACTCTCATCACATTCGCAAAATAGATTTGAGGTTCGTAAGAGCCCTCAAGGCCTGCCTACGATAATTCAGGCCCCTTGGCAGAACGTTTCTTCGTCAGCGTGGAAGTCATTATGAAAGTGGTGTCCTGCGAGGGAGGAAAAGGATACGTTGCAAGGCGATAGACAGTTTCTAGTCGCGCTTGTTGGTTATGTTTTGCTGTGGAGTTGCTGTCCCGGAACACAGATGCTGTCCACGTGAAAGTTTAATAAGTCATATTGGTCATTAGCTAACGCCGCCTTATAATTTTCTGGGAACGCAGAGAAATGGAAAAGTCAGCACTGAACTTTCGAGAGCAGTTTTTCTTATGGCAAGTATTAATCACAAACTTGATGTCCGTAATCGATTTATTTTGCCTTTACACATTCAATATCACAAATAATAATAATAATAATAATAATAATAATAATAATAATAATAATAATAATAAGAGAATGAAAAAACTCTCCAAGATTTTGGCGCTGATAACGATTATGAACTGAAATTCTTGATATTTCATTCTGCCATCATGGAAACACATTGTTTAAGAATCTTGTATCGTTCAAAACTCGTGCAATCGAAAGGTTGTGCTGTTTTTCAAAAGTAATACCTCGATTGGAAATTGTCCACAAATCTATTTATCTGAGAATTTTCAAAGCAGGAGTGGTACGAGTATCTAAAAGAAGTATTAATGATGACAATAATAAATCCACGAATGAAATTATCTCCAACAGTGTTTGAAAATGCGCAAAATATTAAAAATAACTCTAATCTGGTTAAAATCAAAGGGTTATTTTATAGTACATATGCGGTTTATTGGATATCAACGTAGCTATCGATGTATACCGCCTCCTAAGATAGAGGAGTCACAGTATAAAATTGGCCAGTAGAGGAAAGTGGTAAGACAAAATTAATAGAAAAAACAATACATTTTTTGAGATACACCGCCCTAAGATTGCTCGAGATCATTTTTTGAGATACACAGGCTCGAAGATGTTTGATCAAGGAGCCGGAGCGGCGAATGAGAGCGACCTGCAGGTTCCAAGGCCGCCGGCGCCGCTGCGAGCGCGCGCGCGAGCGGAGAGGGCTGGCAGGACGAGCTTTCGCGGCTGCCGCTAGGATGCGCGCGAGTGCCACTCGAGGATGACTCGGCGGCACGTTGAAATGCGCGCACTCGCGGACGGAAACCAAAGAGCACGCAGAGAATTCTTTTCTCGCAACACATTCAATTCTAGACGTCGCCTTTTGCATGGGATTCAGGTTAGAGAACTCCCTGCTGAAGTTGTTGGTTTACATTTAGAATTTGATAATGTTGAAGATAATGGTTTAAATTTGGATGTTAATGCTAATTATTCACAAAACATTGACACAAAACATTATTCATCACATTTGCCATTACACACACACACACACACACACATATATATATATATATATATATATATATATATATTTCTATTTCTATTTCTATGACAAACAGAACAAAATACCGAAAGGATATTGTAAATGAAATATAAACCGTTGAACACCATTTAACTAACAAGAAAAACGCTTTGTTCTGATCACGTTTTTGTACGAGAAAATCATTCCCAGCTCCTTCATTATGACACACGAGTATCACCACTTCCGTTGTCCAGAGCTTCGTAATATCGGCAGGGGCCGTGACTGCCCGGCGGCAGCGAGTCAGAGGAGCGCTTGGCCGCCAGGTGGCGTGCCGGTCGCGCGTCTCTTCCCCTGCCGTTCGCAGCGCAGATTACTCGGGGAAATCATCCGTCCGACCAACGGCGCAGCGATATAGTCACGCAACAGTTGTGTCACTTCGCATCTCGGCTTGGAGTCTTGCAGAAGACTTGAGAGCAATGAACACGAAATCCGTGTGATTTGCGTGAAGATGATTGAGAAGCGAGTCGGTTTGCTCAACACTTAATACTAACTCCGTGGATAACTTGGTGAAATATTGCAGAACGTCTCCAACCGTGCAGTTCAGGCTTCAGTTTGGTGATTATCATGAAGCGGGACTTCTAAAGATTCTACCATGCCACGCATTTTAGCCTTCACAGTGTAACGTTCTTTTTAACTTTTTTTGTAAATGTACGTACGTTCGTTCAGAGTGATGTACATAGTGTAGTGAAAGCTTTGTAGTGCTGCGGGAAATCGATTTCAAGATGTCAACGGAAATTCACGTTTTGGGGTGCCCCGTATCGAAAAAGTTTTTCCGATATGTTCGTCCGTTCGTTTGCCCGTATGAGTACAACAATTTTGAGTTAAACACGGGCAATACTAAAAACATTTTCTCAAAAAACGCTTTTATTTTTTTCTTTAAACCTTTTTATAAGGATAGTGTTAATTGCACTCAATATCCATGCCCAACTGACATCACTACCACTTTAATGTATTATTTTGCTTTTTCAAAGAAATTACACAAATTGAATGTTTAAAAAAATTCATTTCATTAATATTTACATTAAGAGCGTTCAAATGCATTATTGCATTGGTAATGGTTTAGAATAAATTTTCCGAAAAATCAAAATTTTTCTGTAAAAATGATCTTAAAATTGCAAATTTTCAGAAATGATCGTACAAAATTTTCTGAAAGTGCTGCTCCTAATTTTTCACTAAACATTTACATACACGATCAAGGTTTACTCTCCTATAATTTTCTTAGTGATATTTCAAACTACTAGGGGACCAAAACATTGAGAAAACGGGAAAAAATGTATTTTAGGCGCCAAAGCCACCGGCAACTGGGAAGAGGGTTTTAATAACGAAAGTTTTGCCTATACTAAAGAGATTAGGCTAGTAACTATTGCGAGAAGGTTTATGTAGCAATACTAGTTTCATTAATGCGGTTCTGAAAGAAATAGATTTTTGAATAATGTCATGTACAATTAAAAACAAGTAGTTTTCGCCTAATTTTTACTTGAGTTAAAGGCATAAAAAAAATAAATAAAATGTTAAATCCAAAGTACATGTGCAGCACGATCAAGTTCTATCGACCAAGCTGACAACAAAAAATTACAGTAATAAGCCAGTGAAATGTTAATGATTTATTCGAAAAGTTAAGTATAGGAAATATTGATTTTTTTATTATTTATCCGTTCACATTTTTGCTGAAAAAATTTTAAAACTAATTTCTGAGTATTTGGGTCATACATATATGATGTAAATAATTCGTTTATTTGGCGATGTTGCTGTTACAAAACAAAACGAACGAAAACACATTGCTGATCGTCGAAAATCCTCGAGAGCAAAGTTTTATATTCTTGCGGAAAATAATTAAATTCGTGTTACGATTTTATATTGCGCGTATCGCCACTTTATAATGTAAGTAGTTCATTTTTAGCGCTGATCAGGATGACTCTCAAGTAAATCGCAAGATGCTTATGATGCCAATATTTCTACTAATTGTGCAACTTATTTCACTTTTTAAAGTCATATATTATTAGATATATGCCGTGGGCAAGTGTTGTACTCACCAAGATCGTGCGAGTCGACTTGGAAGACGTGTCGCAGCTCAGCGGGGCTCATGTGCTTGTGGATCTGCAACAGAAGGAAACACGATTAGCACACTGAATTCAGAACCAGTAGTCCGCACGTACTATACATATATATACACCAGCACGTACTGAATCAGGACATCCACCTACCATGGATTGCTTCGGAGAATTTAATTCCCTATTTTGAGTAAAACACTACTAATTTCCTATTTTGAGTTCTTTTACACATTAAATCAATGATATTTTATTAATTGCTAAAGTTCGCATTATGGCCAATGATATTTCAAGTTTTAAAAAAATAGGAATACATTCCCAAGAAATATGATGTATTTGATTTTTTAATTACTAGAAATTCAATTATCGACTCAATGAAATATGGATTCAAATTGTATAGTTGGTTTTAGGGGACCGCGAGCTTAATTTTCATGATTTTTTAAAATTAAATGCAAGATAGGTTTGACACTCTGTCTTTCATCGACCAGTCTTCTGTGTTTTCAAGTGTTTTCTCGCACAAATAATGCATTACATGTGCAGATAATACAGAGGAGAATTGATTATGAAGAATGAAAAAAACGGACTCACAATGTCTTCTTACACAATTTCAACAGAATTTAAAAGAAAATGTGATAACTTCGGGGATTGTAGATACAATTATAATTTAAATTCTATGTTCGAGTATACGACGCTGGATCTGTGTTAAGGATAATAGAAGCGTTGACAAAAGGAACCCGAAGAGTAATATAGAAAATTGCAGACACTTTTCTTGTTTAGTTTCCCTTCCGCCTGCACTTCTTACGTACTGTACAGGAGGCCCGGTTCATTGACTCCACCATTGACATCCGTGAAGTTCCGAGTACTTCCGGACTTGGGCAGCGCAAATATGCTCGTGCTTTAAGGATTGACTCACTGAGCAGGTGTTCTCCACAAAGGCCTTTTTGGTCGTATTTTGTCGTTTCTTACATAAAATATAATCATTAACAGTGAATAAATCCACAATTTTAAAGCCACAAAGCTGTGCAGTTTCACTTTACGAGGATTTTCACACATCGGCCCACACTACTGTCATTCTCGCTAACTTTTCTAATAATGTTAGAGTTTTATTATTATTATTATTATTATTATTATTATTATTATTATTATTATTATTATTATTATTAGGTGTAGATGTAACAATACTCCCAATTTCGTTCAAACACAGCCAAACGTCTTAAACTACAAAAAAATGAGCCATTTCGATTCTATAGAGAGTGAAATCCTATACTTACAAGTATTACTATCAGTGGTCAATATAAGATAAAGATAAAATGTTGAAGAGAAGAAAAATACTCGTTTGAATACATTATATTTTAATGAAAACTAGCTCCCCACTTCAGGTTTTAAATATGTTAAACCAGATACTTTTTTTCACAAAGAAGACAATTTTATGATTAATTTCCACATTTTAGGAAAGGATTTACTATTTAACGGCAATAACAATTCAACCAACGTGAACAGATCACTAATTTGGATAATTTTGTAGTATTTTTGCTTCTGTCAACCAAAGATCGCATCAGCTGATGGAATGAATTAACACAATAGTTTAAAATTAACATTACCACTAAACAATTTTAATACATTTAGTGTACAAAATAGACATTTCTGTTTTCTATCTACGTCCGTAGCAACATTTTCGACGTGGTGACTTACTCGTGATAACTTGTAATGTGTGGATTTGCAAAGTAAGCAGTGCCGTAACTGGCTGAAGGGGGTTTCAGTACCATCCAACGGGGGAGTGATGGGCGTCAGAGTGCTGCCGTCGTTGCGCGCGACTGGGCTGACGACCTTGCCGCCATATTTATCAGAGAGCTACCAATTTCGCTATCGCCTCCGGCGGCTGCAAACAGGACCTGTTTGCGGAAGAAGAGAAATCTCGAGGCTACGCGGCCTCGAAAGCGGACGCCTGCCCGAGGTGGTGGCGGTGGCGGAGGCGGTGGTGTCAACGATGATCTCCAAGGCGAGGGACGTAGCATAATGAGACGAAATGAATAGCACGACACCGCAAGTGGGCTTCAGAATAGGAAGTCAGGTTTCAGAAATATGTTTGCTCTGTCACCTTAACGAACTCGCGCCTCAAACATGTCCAACTGGGATTTTTAGTCCCTCGTGTATCAATTTCGTTCATCTTATTCTAAAAAATATACTGCCCGTCGCCTTTACATTACCCTTGGAAGTGCAAAGGATGAATATATTTCTGTGTATATTACTCATCACTTCTTGTCGTGCGTTTAAGGTGACGAAGAGAAATTGTTTGTTCTTGCAAAAGGAAAGTTGAATCGCTTTAATAAGTTAGTAAATCTACGAAACGTCGCCAAAAGGCGTAATAATTTGGGTCAAGTTCAATAAATTGTCAGATTCAAATATTATCAAATCATAATAATTATTATCTGAAGCACATTTCTGCAGGACAATTTTAGGAAAAGGAAGAAGCAAGTGAAAAATCAGGAAGGACGCATGGAAAAGAAGAGGAAATGAGGAAGAATTGTCTTATTCAGAATCTACATATAGAATGTAACATGAAATTTAGGTGAAGGCATTCACAAATGGCAAAAATGTATGTTGAGAAAGATCATTTTTTGTACACAGAGATCAGAATTGTTTTTCTGAGTAGTTTTTGTAAGAACAGAGTAATTGAAATTATTATTCTAGAACACAGCAAGGTTTAAAAATAACAGATGATAATTTTTTGACCCCTGTGGGTAAGTTGAGAAAATTGAATTTTGCATGGGAGCAAGATATCTTTGAATCCTCTTATTATTTGAGGCAGTCATTTAGCGTAAATAAACATATTTCAATTTATTTGACCTTAAATGAATGATCGTGAATCATTGTTAGAGCTTCAGACCACTCTAGTTTTCTTTTTGGAGTTAACGAAGAAATGTATGTTTTGTTTAAAAACGTGTGTTAACAACAACATAACATAACTGATAACGTGTGTTAACATACATGATAACACACTAATATAAGAAATTATAAAGAGAATCTAGTAGTATAGAGCTTGTTTCGTTTTCATCAAAAGTTGACTTATGAGTTTTTCACTTGAGGTCAAAGAATTGTTGAAATAGTAACCGATTTGCCGTTTTCTTTCAAAATTCTCGCATGCCATTACCGCTGGTATTTGAGAAGTGAAGGTCAAAACATCAGGAACCTTGCCGCCTGATCCATGCATCTTCGTTGTGGGCCGCTTTGGGGAAAGATCACTCGTCTGGGAAGCGAAGAGGCGTCGGGGAACCTTCACATTTCGCGCTTGTCGCGTCTTCACTAATTGTTATTTACGAGTGTTTGCATGGTTCGCGTCGCCCTCAAGCCGTCAGAAATTCTCAGTGGTCTTGGCGGAGTAGCGTCGCCAACACTGCTGCTTTCCCTCTGGATAAATTCTGGCTACCGTAGACTGAAGTGTATTTTGAAGGGACGACATTTATTATCAGCAAAGCATCATGCTCGAAAATTTGCTTTTTCATTATCTTTCAATATATGAATCTACATCTCAGTCAAACATTCTTCCGTTGTCTACAGTTAACTTCAAGAATATATGTAAGCAGATTTTCATTCAATTGATTGTATGTTTTGTGGTTAAGTCGTATTCTATCCTGGAGTTAAATTAACGTATGCTATTATGGGGATCAACTTTTGAGCTATATCCCTTAATAAGACAAGGTTGTTACGCCTTGAATTATGAGGTGATAGGATAATGGTGATGAGGGGTGACGGGACACAAAAACGGCCATGTCTACGCAGCACTCGAACCTGAGCTTCCTCGGCTCAGACGACGGCTGCCGCAGCCGTCTGCGCAACGGGGCCGGCATTAATATATTTATTATTATTATTATTATTATTATTATTATTATTATTATTATTATTATTATTATTATTTCTTATTATTATTATTATTATTATTTATTATTATTATTATATATTAATTATTATTATTAATGTAAATATGGTATTTCTAAGTAACCGATTTCAGACGTGACTGCTGCGCTTCGTCCCGCGTAGCCAAGGAAACGGAAAGATGACTGGTTATTTGTGCCCCTGCAGCGAACAATAGCTGCAACCCCTCCGCTCAGGCTCTGGTTTGCGCAAGTCGCGCGCCAGCGCACCGAGTTACTTAATTGCCGGTGTTCGCAGCGCCCAAAGCACCGGGCCCTTTTATAGAGCCTCGCCGCCGCCCTCCCCCTCTCCACGGTCGCCATGCGACCCGGCGTGCCAGCGACTCAACGGGACTTCGCAGGCAAGCGGCTGCCCGCCCCCGCCCGCCCGCCCCATTCCTCCCTCCCGCCCCCGCCCGCGGTCAGCCCCTCCATACCGCCGCGCCATCCGCTCCCCGCCCGCCGCACCGTGTAGCTCTGCATTTCGCACCGCCGTCGGAGTGAAAAGTGCCACGCTTCTCGCGAGAGCCTAGCAGCCAGGCTTCGGAGTCACCACACACATAGAAAGGCACAGAATAACCACTCCCTCTGTGTATGTAATTTTAGTAACGTAATCCAATTATGAGAGAAGCAGCTCCTATTCTGCTGCGAAGCACCTCACTCGGTTCGTCATTAATGCAGAGCTCGAGACAATAAAACCAGTGTCACGTCTCCGTCTAATGTGACTGAGCGGCCTAAGTTTATGAACAATTAAGTGGCACCAACTTTTGCAGTATTAAAATCATTTAAATTATTACTTCCAGTTACTTATCTATACATAAACGAATATATTTCATACGATCATCAAGGAATCATAAAAGAAGACAGAGTATTTTATTGTACGCTCTAATTGCAACAATCAAATATACATTTTAAGCTGTGTTTAAATACTGGTTTTCAGGAGTTTATTGTTCTTTTGTAGTTGCATTTTCTGATTAAATTAACTATTTTGGGCGTCTCAATTAATGCTGACTTATTTTGGCATTTATTGCTACCAAGTGGGGTGCGCGGGCGACGCGCCCCCTGCCTGTCGCCCAGCGCCGCGTGGCGGGCAACAGGGGCGGTGCTCCGAGGGAGGGACGACGCGTGGCTGCCCTTT